TCATATCATCTGCAAATAGTGATAATTTAAGTTCTTCTTTTCCTATTTTTATGCCTTTAATTTCTTTCGTCTGTCTAATTGTTTGTGTCCTGATGAGTACTGAATGTGTTATGGTTTGGATCTGGAATATCTCCCAAAAGTTCATGTGTTGAAGATTTGGTCCCCAATGCAGCAATATCCAGGAGTGGGGCTTTTAGAAAGTGATTGGGTCATGAGGAGTGTAACCTTATCAATGGGTTAATCCATATTGGTGGATTTATAATTTGAATGGTCTATGAGGATGAGGGTAGAAATGGTAGGCAGGTAAGGCTTAGTTGGAGAAAGTAGTTTGCTGAAGGCTAGCCCTTGGGGTCTGTATTTTGTTCCTGGTCTCTTCCACCATGATATTCTACCTCATTTCAGGATCAAAGCAATAGAGCCAAACAGCCATGGACTAAAAATCTCTGAAACCATGAGCCAAAATAAACATTTTCTCTTCTAAGTTGTTTACATCAGGTATTTTGTTCACAGCAATGAAAATTTGATTAACACAGAAAGCTTAGTATTTAAAGTCAGAAGAAACCCAATTCATTCTCCCATTTTGAAGAAGAAATTGAGGGCTAAAGAGATGAAATAAGATTAGGGTTAAACAACACAGAAATGGTAGAGGAACTAGGACTAAGCTTCAATTCAGCAATACATCCTTTTCATCATAGTACTTGGTTTATATATTCCCAAGAATATTGACATATATTAACTGTACAAATTAATGGGATTCCCTGTGATATTTCCATGCATGTATACAGCATGTGTTCATCACCTTCAGTTCTTAGTAATCACTCTTCTATATTTGGGTCAATTTTTTTTCCATATGTGATACTTGCTTTTCTGTGCTTTGCTTATCTTGCTTAACATGATGATCCATATTGCCATGAATGATATGATTCCATTTTTCTTTATGGCTAAATGACACAGTGTTTCTTCTCCCTCTTGTGTTAATTTATATTCATATTCTCTCTCTCTCTCTCTCTCTCTCTCTCTCTCTCTCTCTCTCTCTCTCTCTCTCTCTCTCTCCCCTCTGTTCTCCCTCTCCCCCTCCCCTTTCTCTCCCTCCCCCTACCTCAAAGAATCCTCCAGCCTCAGCCTGCAGAGAAGCTGGATTATAGACCATCACAATGCCTGCCTTTAAATGTGAAACTATTTAAAGAACATTCTTTATAGCATCTGAAACTGAATTCCAATTATACACTACCTGGATAAAATTATCTCTCTATTTATAAAGGATGAATTATCTCCCAACCCATATCTCAAAGATATCATTGATATTTTTCAAAGGAAATATCAATTGCCTGGAAGCTCATCATCCCTCCTAGATAAGCACAAAAGAGAGCTCCACAAAGGGTGGAGAGTCTCCCTGCTCTCAAGGACAAGAATTTCACTATTTCTCTTTCCTCTAGCTGTATTCTAACATTCTGGCACCTACAAACACTGAATATGTAATAAGCACCTATTACATGGTAGGCATTGTGCTAATTCTAGATAACGGATAAAATATACAATCCCAACCCTCAACGTGTTTTACATCTATAAGACAGACAGCTACAGACACTTACAGTACACTAAGGATTAGGAGCACATCCACAACACCCAGAGAACACAGGAGGGGCAGCATTCCCCACTGGGTAGGCAGAGAGGGAATTAGTGGAAATGTGAGGGAGTTAGTGGAAAAAGAGAGCATTCAATGTGACCAGTGAGTGGAGAAGTAAATTAATTGATTTATTAATTTACTCAATTGGGAAAGTATCTAAACAAAACAATTATTTTGACTGTTTGGGAGGATATGTGGTTTACATTGAGGCTTTAGTAAATGCTTTTATAAGACTCATAATCATTCTCTAACTTGTAAAGTCAGCTTTTTACATACTGGATTTAAAAGAGACTCCTCACTACTTACACAAAACTACTATATCACTCCCCCTTCCTCACTCCCTAATTAAGTTCTGTCAAATTTTTTTTCATTATATTTGTTTTGGTACTTAAAAAAAACCAATATGTAAGTCAAACAACATGGTTTACATTTATTTCCATAACTGTCTTGCCATATTTTGTCACACCCACTAATCAGATATTTTCCACTCATCTCTGTTGTATGTGAAGCTGGCAGAAGACAATATTCTAAATTGCTTTCCAATCGCAGTACCTCAAGAGACTTTAAAAACACATTAACCTCAGGCAAAATAGCATGCTTTCATTTTGCAGGAAAATAAAACATCAATTATTGTACCAAATCCTTCCCTAAAGGTCAAAAATAAATCCACAAATGTAAGAAATTGAGGGAAATTTTAACCTTAAAGGGAAAAAAAAACCCTGATATTGGATGAAATATTTAAAAACCTCATTAATTTAACTTCTGTGTGCCATAGTACCAAAACAAAGAGGTTAATTAAGGATACAATAATCATGTGTCTGGGTCTTTTATTTATTTTTTCCCTTCTCACAGTTTTAAGTCATTTATCTAACTTAAAGAATTTGTTCATATTTCAGGTCAATAGATATATGCCTAAAAGAAAGCAAGCACCTCGAACAGTACTCTTAATTAATACCTTCACTATATTGTTACATATTCTTTTGGTAAATTGAAATCAACAGCAAAAATGCCCCATTTATTTCAGTAGGATTGAAGAAAATTTTAAAATTTATGTAGTAAAAACAATATGTGTGAGCCACCTGTTTGCTTTTTAACTAAATGGATTGGTATGGAATGACAGCTGCTGCAAAACCAACAACACTTCAAATAGTATATATTACTTTGCCAAGAAGACTAAATTTTGGTATCATTTACTTTATTACCGTGGGACATGTTAATAGAGATTCTTACAGAAGAACACTGTAATGAGTATTTCTAGCCACTAAGTGTCACTGTTCATTTAAAATTTTTTTAAACTGCACTGACAGGGGCATGGTGACTCAGTAGAATCTTTTGAATGGGGTCAATCAGGAAAAAAAAAATCTGAAATTATATAACACACACTCAAAGCAAAGCGCAGACACTCCACCAGTAAACTGCATAAGAGGAATTCCTAGAGATAGAGGTGTTGCTCTCAGTGGAATGCCAACTGATCAAATCAGACATTTTGCAAGCTTAAATAAGGTTTGAGCTACACTAAGCCTTGTAATCTGTTTTTACCAATATAAATGCCAAAACTGAATTGCCACTATAAAGTCTGCCAAGTTTCTTTGTATTGTATGTCAGTATGCTGTTTTCCTTGATAGTGCCATCAATAAACATGTCTGGGGATCAACTGCTTGTGATCAGATATGCTACTTTCATTGTTTCAAGCTGAGCTGAAACTGTACAAAATGCCAGTGCCAGAAAGGTTCCATTCAGGCTTGAACATTTGAGGGAAATGTAAGGCAGACTTCCCTCTACCCTGCATTCAAAGATTCAGGTTAATGTAAGAGTTTCCCAAAGCTCACAAGTTAGAGACCTCATTTCCTAGACACGCATAAATTTTAGACTGAAGCATATCACTCTGTGCCTTCTTGCAGGTATTAATTTAAGAGTCCAAAAAGGACATGGTTTTCAGCCACACCATAAGAGGATGGAATTTCATTCGATCTAAAAGTAGAGAGAGAGCATTCCATGCAGATGGGATGGTATGAGCAAAGATGCTGAAGCAATGTATTTTGGAGAACAGTTTGGCTGGATCATGGATTTCACATAAGAAAGTAGTAGGTATAAAGATTAAAGAGACTTTTGGAACCAGATTGGAATGAAAAACATAAGGTCAGTAAGTTTTAACTCATACAAACTAAGAAATAATGGGATCCATTAAATGTTTTAAATAGGGGCTGAGGTCAGTGTGGCTTAATGGTAGAGAACTTGCTTCACATGCCTGGGGCACTGGGTTCTATCCTCAGCACCATATAAAAAATAAAATAAAGGTACTATGTCCATCTACAACTACAATTTTTTTTTAGTTTTTAAAGTTTTCAACACAATACTTACATATTTTTAAAATAGCAGATTCAAAAAATTAATTAGATAAGAGTGCGCAGAAAACTTTAAAGGTACCAAATTACAATTTTTAAATATTATTAAAGATACATATTATAGGTATTTTAAGATTCTTAAAAATGTTTAATGTTCACATCTGATCAATTCTTTTGTTGGAAATATAATCCACAAAAATAAAATAATTTTAAAACCACAAAAATTACAGGAGCATTTCTAATTTTTAAAAATAACTCCATGACCAAAATTGGGGCCATTGTGACACTTTTTTTTGTATCAGAGATTGTATCAGTGGTTGCTTTACCACTGAGCCACATACCTAGCCCTTATAAGTATTTCTGATTTTGAGACAGAGTCTCACTAAGATGCTTAAGACTTCACTAAGTTGCTAAGGCTGACCTTAGACTTGCAATCCTCCTGCCTCAGCCTCCTGAGCTGCTGGGGTTACAGGCATGTGCCACCATGCCTGGCATGACATACATTCATACTAGAATATTATGTAGTCGTTTAATAATTATGAAGTCTATGTAAATTATATGGAAAATGAAAAATATGAAACATAAATAGAATATCACTAACTGCAACTCCCAGAGGAAAAAATGTCCCAAGAGGGTAACATGCATTTAGCTAAGCCACCAGTAAAAAGGAACAGCCTTCAGTCAAGATGGCTAAGACCCAGCTACCTTCCCACTTGACTCTTGGGAAACACACAATCCCTTCCTAAACCTAATTCGAGTGCAGTCAGCTCCACACTGCCCCACCCATGGTGCACTTTCTCTCCAGTTCTCCACCTTCCTGTTCAGATAGATCACCAAGTCTCCAGGACCAGGACACATCAATTCGGGGGGGTCTCAGAAGCATTTATGAGTAAGCCCACCTACTTGTCCTTAGGGATGCTAAGTATACTCTCAAGGACAGAAAAGAAAAACTAAAACCCTCTTTCCCTAGGCAAATAACACACAGCTCCAGTGCTTTCCCTTTTTTCCACCCTAGTCTTCTGCTTCATATGGCTGGAAAGGAAGAGAGGGGAAGGAAAGATAAAGTTGGTGCTGAGGGGGTGATTAGGAATAGTGGAGCCTATTTACCTTCTAATAAGACCTGTCGGGTGCAATGCTATCTCCCCCAATTGTTTTATGCCTTAAAACTTCAAAGGTTGCCTTTACACCTAACCTTGTCATTAGGTTCTAGTCAGCAGGAAAAGTCCAACTTAATATTCTATTAAAAGAAAATGGCTGGAAGAAAACTCTGAACTGCAACAAAAGTCAAGGAAGCAAAATGCTGGATACACTTAGAAATATATTTCCTTGGTTGAAACACTAACCCTGAACATAGAATTATAGCCTGATTCCTCTTTCCTGGGAATCAGAATGTGTCCTCAGTTGTGCTCAGAAGAGCACAAGTAGAACCAAGTGCCAAATATTGCAGTTTTCAGGGGCCAGCTCAAGGTTCACACACCTCTTCCCATTGTTAAAACTGGTCTCCAAAGCGTTGAAATCAATTCCAGGAATCACTACCTCAAGAATTCAGAACTATGACCACCACTTCTGTCATCCACCCACATTCCCACTTATATCTCACTCTATCCACCATTCTCACTTCTCTAACCTACCTAAGTAAAAGACTTCTTCCATAACCCTGAAAAAATTCCCCTACCTTCAAATCACAGGGAACACCATTTTCTTTTTCTCATCTTCTTGAAATATTGCCAAGAGTTTTCAGGTGCACAATGATCCAAGTGTAAGAGGGGCCTTCTTAAAAACAGTCTTTCTTTTGTAACCTCCCAAAACACAAAATTTTTAAAATCCAAAACTCACTAATTTTTAAAATAGCTCTCTTTTGGGTTTTGTTTTATATTGAAAGATATTGTCCTAGGCAAGACAGAAACTATTTGTAAATATTCCCCATTTTATATGGAAGAAGCAGTAAGTTCCCAAGTCATACCTGTTAATTCACCCCAATGGTGACAGTTTCATATAAAAGAACCCTTATCCTTTTGGAAATGCTGTCACTATAATCAATTACACAAAATGACTTATATCATGTGCCACTTTTTATAAATAGAAACCTCAGAATTAGAGTAAATTTAAGAAAGCTGTTTTGGGGAATTGTTTAGAACACCTCAACTAGAAATTGTTACAGAAGACCAAGTGTTGCTGTGAACCCTAATAATGTGCATTTACTATGAAATTGTGGTAATGGGGTCAGCTTTTGTTTTCCAGGGTGGAATCGAATAAAATTTGATGAATGTAGCTCACAGGAAGAAAAATCTTAGAAACATAATCATGAAGTGAGGAACAAAAAAAATACATTTTTAGTAAGCATTGCAGTCCTACGTGATAACATCCTGAGCCTAATTCAGACCCTTTTCCCTCAGACCATTACCACAGACTAATCGCACACTTCATTAGACACTAACTTTAACAGCACAGCCCCATGGAACATATGTGCTGTCTGCATGGGAGGTCTGAGGGCTAAAGCTAGAGCATGCAGCAAAAAATGTGCGAAAAGCAATGTAGTTCTATAATGTTTTACTGAAGATTAACATCCATTAAAAACTTTCTTTATGTTGTACACTATTCAAATCTTTCCCATTTCTCCCCTTCCTTATCTGTATGCATTTTAAACAATTGATATAACTAACCAGTTCTCAGGTTAGTCACTAAAAATAAGCCTACCACAATTTTTTTAGTAAGATGTAGTCTATGCACCTAGGAGTAGAGAGCTTCCCACAAAATCTGGAAATCAGAGAAATAAGACAGCCCTGTGAGAGTAAAATTCTTATTTCTACTGGACCAGAGTATAGATGCAAAGTCACCTTAAAAGACAAATGGAAGCCAGACCTGAAGAATGGTTGCTATTCGACTAATTATATTACAATACATTATTAAATGTGTCAGTCAAAAAGGAAATTGGCCAATCAAATATAAATAGAAAAAAGAGCTTCCGAGAGCTGCACTTTGGCAGTGCTCATCCAAGCACTTAAACACAGGAGAATCTGAGCCAAAATGAAATCCACTGAAAAGATTGTTCTTAGGTTCAATTAATCTAATACTCCTTGTTCTAATTAATGCTCCACAAAGGACATTATGACTTTACTTCCATGTAGATGTGCCTTTAATGAGAAGGCCAAGTCACATAGATTTTAGTATTTTAGTTCGAATGGTTGTTGTATTTCTTATTATAAATCAATAAGTTGCTGTTTGGATGAAGATTTGGCTTCTCAAATAGCTCACCTACAAACATCAGGAGCAACGGGAATTCTTCAATCTCTATTCCAGCTAAAGTTCTTGGTAAAAATCAACAAACATACTTAATGAGCTCAGTTAATGTGAGTGCACCCATGATATATGGATTAAATGAAAAAAATTAAAAAGGACTGATCCCAAGGTGATGAATTCTAGTTTTTGAAAATTTTGAGTGATAGCTTGCCCTCATTTCCATGTCACAGAGATCAACTGTACTATCATTCATATGAATGACTCACTGGAAACACCTATAAGATGTTCCATAATTGTTTAGTGATTTTTATATTTGAACCATAGAAAAAGATGACCCTTAGAAATCCAGACTGAGACACATTAAAATACATTTGAAATTTCATTACTGACAATAAAGTTATTTTTAAACATAAAAATGCTACTTTCTAAAATACAGCAAATGTAATTTATAAATTCCCATCCCATATGTTTAGAGTTCTAAAGTAGTAAGGTATTTCAAACAAGCATCCATGTCATTTCTTTCACATCTCTGTCCATGACAGACATCACAGCACTCTTCCTTCTGAACCTAGTTGCAGCCTCAGAACTATCCCTAACATAATCTTCTAAGCAGATAGGCAATGACATTGGCATATGAAGAAACCTATTTTCCATCTCTGGTATAGACATTTCTGGAATTTATATTTCATAGTCTTTTTAAAAGTGTATTTTGAGTTGATCTTATCTGACATAATGTACTGTGATGAAATTTCAAGGTTAAAAAAAAATAGTTTTGGTTGCTAGGGATCAAACTCAGGATCTTGTTCGTGCCAGGCACAAATTCTACCACTGAGCTACACCCCTAGTTCTGCAAAAAATCAAATATTTGTTTCTGAAAAATTTATAAAGAGTAAAAGATGTTATGGTGTTCACATTCACATTAGGCTTGAATTCAAACATTTAAGAGAAAATTGTTTTGATCTTAATTATTTGAATTTCCCTCTAGTAATACTCATCATTTTTTTCAACCTTTCTAAAATCTGTACTGTAATTTTGCATCCTATTCAATCCTCTATATCCTAAAGAAGTTCACACCAGTGGTACAGCATGACCACTTCAGAGATTAAAGGCACATAGCCAGCTGGCACAAGACTTGGAACAACACAGAAGAAAGTGACAAAAGCTTAGCCAAGATCCCTGAGAGATAGTAATTCTGCTTTTTTAGTTGTATCTTAATTGCCCATAGAAAATACATATTATCTTACTTTATGGTAGAAACTGAGTGATATTTTAATAGCAGTCTTAAAACATGGGAAAAGTTTTCACATTTAAAAAGACTGTTCCTTTGTCCACGTCTACTCAAAAGCTAACAATGTGAATTGAGTTCAAGCTCCTGATGAAAGACAAGGGGAATTTTTCTCATTATCAAAATTGTAAATCAGAAGGGGAAACAGGACTCTTGGTATGTGTGCCAAAGAAAAGCATATTTTCATTGCAATGAAGGCTGAGAAGACGGGTGAAAAAGACCTGGAAGAAGCAAAGACACTGCCCAGGCCTGGTGAGCCCAGAAGAATT